GCAGCTCAGAGAGTCTCAAAACCCTTTGGTTCAGGCATAAAAAAGGATTTCAGATGACACGAGTTGAAATGTATTAGCTATAATTGAGGAGGGAAGTGGGGCCTCCTCAACTGTCCCTAAGTCCCCCTCAAAATGATTGTACCTCCCCAGCCCTGCTCACACCTGCTCAAAGAGGTACTCAAAGGAGGCTGGGTCCAGGAGTCGCATGCCCTGCTCTGCCTGTTCTGATGAAGCCTTGGCCCCTGGGGGCCTGCAGCGGTACACAGCTGGCTCCTGAGGATTTGTGCCATGCCAGTTCCGGAAATAAAATCTGCAGGAAGGGAAGGGGCACAGCGGGGCTGAGCACGGATTCAGACCAGCTTGAGAAAGGTGGGGTGCAGGGGAGGAAGGGGACTAATAAAAAAAGGAGACAAGCCTTCCACAGGCTTTTGTCTACCTCATGCGGAAGTGCAGCGTCAGGCTTGTATCTCTGGAGACCTCTAGAATGTGGTTTGGGGGCAGCCAGACCTGGGCCTGGGCATCGAAGAGGGCAAAGAGACTGAAGCAGGGTGGAGTGATGCCTGCAACGGAGGGAAACAAAATCAGGAGTCAGTGTCTGCTCTAATCCGCCCAGTGGGCCCCCAGACCTGCTGTCTCCCTTCATTAGCCTTCCCTCGGCCTCCTCCCCTGCTGACAGAGGACAATGCAATATGTTGATCATGCTGTGGCTTCACAGGAGACTACATTTCCCAGCTTCCCTTGCAGCTTGGATGAGGCCATTGAACAGATTTCTGGCTAATGGGATGTGAGCAGAAGGGATGCACATACTTCCAGGCCTGGAAATAAGCCCTCCTGCCATCCTCCCTGCCCCAGGGATGTTGGAGACCCCTTGCGCCAGGTAGCAAAGCTGCAAGACAGAGGTGAACCATCTGACCTACATTAGATTTTAGATAAACTTTCACTGTCTTACCCAGGCAAATCCGGGGGGGGGGGTTGCTTGTTACCGCAGCAAAACCTACCCTAGACTAACACAACTCTATTCTAATCTCTCTCTCTGAACTCCAGACCCAAAGAAATACACAACTACCTCTTGGCTGTCTCCCCTTGGACATTACAAGCCCCCTTGGATGTGCCTTGTTCCAAAAATTTCATCCGAGGCCCCCACACCTGCCCCTCCTCTGCCCAGTTCTTTAAGCCAGGACTTGGCCTTTGTCTTTAACTCCTCCCACCCTCTCCATATCGAATTGGTACAAATCCTGCTCTTTGTGTATCCTTTGCCTCTCTGGGATCCACTCAATTCCTTCAAATCCAAAGCCCAGGCCTAGTCCAGCCTCCAGACTTGCTGTCATTCCCCACACTGGCCACCCAAGACCTCTTTTTAAATACACATCATTTAAAATTTTTATCTAAAATAGTCCTTTCAGAATAATTTATAATCACCTAAGTACCAGCCACCAGATAAAGAAATGAAACTTGGCAAGTACAATTGAAGCCCCCACTTACATCCACCTCCCACACTCCTGAACTAAAGTTTACCATTTTCATATCCTCTATAATCTAGTCTTGAATACTATAAACTTGAAATGTGGTATTATACCGTAGGTGTCCATCTGCAATTTGCTTTTCCATGCCACAATAGGTTTTAAAGCTTCACACATGACGATACATGTAGCATTCCATTTTTGTGGCTGTATAGTACTCCAGTGCTCAACTATATTTCTATTTTTTTGTGTATTCTCCTGCAAAGGGACTTTGAGATCATCTCCCATTTTCTACTAAGATAAATGAGACAGCTCTGAACATTCTCTACGTCTCCTGGAACATGTGAGCTGAGTGTCTGTAGGGTGAATATGTAGGAGTAGAACTGTATGGCCGTAAGAAATGTATATTTCAGTCATGTTAGATGATGCCAAATTGCTCTCCAAAGTTGCTGCACCCCAGTGTACTGCCTCCTGCAGAAGAAGAATGCCTCCTTGCGAGACAACTTGCGAAAGAGCCAATCTGTTTTATTCTTTGGCTTAAACCTTCCACGCCTCCCTATTGCTCCCTGAAAATGCCCACAGAGGAACCACGACCTGGACCCTGACAGTTATGCTCTGGTTTCAATTTCTAGTTCCCCTTCTAAATTCTTGAAACTGACATGCTAGTCACTCTTAAGTTCGTTTGCTTCCTTAAATACATCAGGCTCTCTGGGCCACCTGCACATGCTGTTCGCTCTGCCAGACATGTTTCACATCACCGAGCACATCTATTTGAGTTCTTTTAAGAATCAGCTATCAAATGAAAAGTACAAGGTGTTGTAGAAATCCACCAGAAAGCTCCCACCCAGCCGTGGAGGAAGGAATTTGAGAGGAAATCCTAGAGGAAGGCGCATGTAAGCAAAGTTCCCTTGGAGAGACCTTCTCCTCCTCTGTCAGAAGCAATTACACTCTTGAGTACATCCACTGTAGGCTCTCCCAGTCATTCCCTAGTTCCTTAGCGCTCTCAAGAAGTAGTCTAAACTCTCGACTCCTCCTGCCAGTGTTTAAAGCAGTATAAGATCCGACCTGACTGACCTCTCCCCCATCATCCCCCACCTAGAGATCAACTCTGCCCTGGTCTCCCTGATCCCACCCTCATCCGCCAGTCTGTTCCCCCTACAGCAGCCAGAGAGCACCTGTGAACACCTGAGTCCAGTCACGTCCCTCCTTCGCTCAGAGTCCCACCTCACTTGGAGTAAAATCCAAAGTCTTCCCTGAGGCCCACAAGACCCTGCACGACCTGCGCCATCACCTCCTTATCCTCATCTACTCTTGTCTCCCCTCATTCGCCTCTAGCTATTGCTGGTAAGTTCCCACCTCAAGGCCTTTGCACTTGCTGTTCCCGCTGCCTGGTACTCATTTTCCCCAGATATCTCCATGGCACCCTCCCTTATCTCAAGTTTTTAATTTTTCACCATCATCTATCTCTGCCCTCCTACACGGTTTTCTTACTTATTGCATTTCTTGCTGATTTCCCTATTAGAACACGAGTGCTACAAAGCCAGTGATTTGGGACTGGCACGTATTAGGTACACACTCGATGTTTGCTGAATAAATGGGAAAACGGATGGCAGGGGTCCAGCTGCTGTCAGCACCTCCACCCCCACCACAGGACTCACCGACTTTGTGTGCAATGTGCATGCAGACGTCCTCTGCAGTCAGTGTGGCCTCGCTGAAGGTGACCCAGGGCTCTCCACCATCGGGGCCAGCCCAGTGCAGGAATACCTTCAGGCCTCCTCTGGTAGCCGTGAGCTGGGTTCCGTCCCCATCAGGCCTGCTGCCCCTGGCTGTGGCCCCCCAGTGGTACAAAGGCATGCTCTTGACAGCTGGTTTGGCTGGGAAGGGAATGCCCATCAGTCCCCAGGTCTTAGCCTGGGGGTTCCTGTTAATACCTTAACATGCTGCCCATCCAGACTGAGGCCCAAGGGGAAGAGTCTGGACTTCCCTTGCCGTGCGACCTCAGGCACCCAATTCCTCTCCCTGAGCCTCAGTTTCCAAACCTGTTTGATGGAGTTAGGGTATGTGTCCCCACCTATTAGACCTGTCATGAACAAAAACACCCAACCCCTTTATTGTACAAATTTGCACCAATATAAAAATCTACTTCGAACCCATTATTCCCAAAATAACCAGGCAGGCAGGTGTAGTCAATCAGACCTGGAGTGTGAATCTAGGCACTGTCTGTGTCAACTCAGCCAAGTCACTTAGCCACACTGGGCCTCCTCAGTTTCCCCATCTGGAGAATGGAGATGATGAGAGGGCTGCCATCAAAAGATGGTCGTGACGTTTCGATGCAGTTCTGCATATTTATATGCATATATTCAGCATAGACCTTGAAACAAGCCTGAAAAATAACAAATACAACAAAACAAGAGTAAAATCATTATTATTGGTTTCATCCTCGTGATTGCTTTTTTTCTCTTTCAAGCCAAGACTCCCGCCTCTCACACCCACCCCCCCTGGGCAACCCCAAGAACCTTCGGACTACCCTGGGCCTAGGAGAGGAGGGGTTTTGTGTTCAGTTCTCTCCCCACCCAGTCCAGCTACGGTACTTTTCAAAAGCCAGGCCCCGGGCCCAGGCCTCCTGAGGACTCCAGTATCTCCAGGGAGGGGTTGTCAACAATTCCGCCATGTTACTGATTTAAGACAAACAGTGATGGAAGAGGAGAATGTTGTAATAGCATAATGTTGGAATCCTTGGGAATCAGCTCCTCTCTCTACTCCTGTTTCATCTGGAAAATGGGCATAGAAAGGTCTCTCCCTCAAAGGGTTGTGGCGAGGATTCAGTGACATGGGGCAGGGAAAAGGCTCGGCACAGAGCCTGGCATGCAGTTGGTCCTTAATAAATGTTCGCTATTATTATCTATTAACGTTTAAAATAAGACGTGGGGATGGGGCTTTTAGGGTGCCCATTTCCTCCTTCCTCGTCCCCATTGGGACTAGGCCCAGCTTTGACGATGGGGTCGGGATGAGGTGTGCACCCGGTAAGGCTGCACCCCCCACACATCCAAAACTCCTAACCCTGCTGGCAGTTATAGGAACCGTGACATGCACCCACTGGGCATCGACCAGTCCCAAGGCAGCAAGTGCTTCGATTCATCGGCCAAACGCGGCCAGTCCCGCGCCTCTCACCAGCTACATCCTTTCTGATGACCTCGGTGCGGGGGAAAGGCGCCCTTTCCGTGCCTTCCTCCACACTCACCTTCCCGAAGTACTCTGGCTCGAACCCGGGACTCCGCCCTGCCGCCCAAGGCAGCCGCCGCCGGATCGCCGCCGAGACACCGCCTCCCATAGGCCACTTGAGACGGGCACACTCATTGGCCGTCTCCCTTCCCCATCGCACGTAGGCATTGGTCCTTTGCTGCAACGGGGCACTCCTATTGGGCCCTGGTGGTAAGCTTTTTTCTTGCTCAACCGTGATTGGCTGGGTCCGGCGCTGTAGCGTCCACCACTGGCTGACGCGGGGTGGACGGAGATGCGGAAGTGGGTGGTCTACACAGGCAGGCGGGAAACTATGGTTTTCCCGCGACGCGGAGATCTCAATTGTCCACTTGGGCGGTGAACCCAAGTCAGGCTTCCGTCCCTAACTCTGGTGCAAGCCCCATATCCTCGTCTTGGTAATCATGGTTGCAGCTGGACGCCATTCAATCTTACAAACCCCTGGCATGTGACTCCCCATTCCATCCTTCCTTGTCTCTGTCTAGCCCCACCTAGCTGGCTGAGGCTCTGTCTCGCCCTCTACCGGAGGCATTTCTGGCCCACCTGCTCACAGCCCTTTCCAGATCTCTTGCATCCCTGTCGTCTGAGGTCCCCTTGCTATCAAAGTAGCAGCTTGGACGTCCCACCTGATCTGAGTTCTAATCCCCAAACAGCAAGTCGCTGCCATTTGCCGAGAAGGCTATGCACGGAGCATTCTACACGCGTTATCTCATTTGATCCTGGCAGTCCTCTTAGTAGGATCTCTTATACCCGGTTCCCAGAGCAAGAAACAGGCACAGAGTGGTGCCAAAGACCCTCTCCTTAACCAAACTTTAGTCCTTGGAGCCCTCAGGCAGGCAGGTGCAGAGACGTACTCATCTCGTGGCCGCCCCAGACAACACTCACACGTAAGTTCTCTTACTTATTAAACCTACCACCTGCCAGTCAGAAGTGATCTGCCTCTTTCTTCAGTCTCTCCTTGCCCTCTGTGCACCAGGGGCCAGTTTACAAACCATAATTGTATTTTATTGTGCTTGCTCAGACCACCTATGGAAGGACTCAAGAGAAAAATAGCTCAGGGAGAGAAATCTTAGGGTCCTTCTTGACTCTTCATTTCTCTCACACCCTCCTCTGGTTCATCAGCAAAATCGGCCTGCTTCTCACATTTCCCTGTCAAGCCCCATTGTCATTTGACCAATACAGTGGCTTCTGTCTTGTTCCAGGGCTCCTGCCTTTGCCCCCCACAGTCTGTCCTCCTGCATTGCCAAGAGGGCACCTGTGAGCACCTGAGTCAGATCAAGTTTCTCCTCTGCTCAGAACCCTCCTCGCTTCTACCTCGCTCAGAGAAAAAGCCCAGCTCCTTTCTGTGGCCCACAGGCCCTGCGTGACCCACCCTTGTCCCCTCCCTGCCTTCACCTCCTCCCACTCTCCCCCTCAGTCACTCTGCTTAGGCCACAAGGGCCTCCTCTCTGTGCTTCCAACACGCCAGGCACAGCCTGGCTTCAGGGCCTTTGCACTGACACTTCCCTCTGCCTGGAAGACACTTCCTCAGCTTTTTTAATGACTCCTTTCCTCACTACTTTGCTTAGATCTTCAAATATTAAATTGCTGTTTCGTGCACACTTTTCAACTTAAAAACATATCATACTGTGTGTGTCCTTCTGCCCCTTGATTCTATTTACTCAATGACACATTCTTGAGATTCATCCATATTGACTCAAGTAGCTCTAGAACACTCATTTTCTCTACTATATCATATTCCAACTGTACAAATAGATAGCTCAAAACTTAATTGTCCATTCTCCTGGTGATGGCCTTTCATGTGGTTTCCAATTTTGTCGCTACAAGGAACATTCTTGTGTGTGAGAGAACGTATGGTTGTTTTGTTTCGTAATGGCCATTACAGAATCACTTATCTTTTACAGGTGCAGGTGATCAGGCCTAAGGCCTGATTGTATGGATTATAGAATGGCGAAGCCATTTAAATGCACAATCTCAGTGGGCTCTTATGCTGAGGTCAGGGCACTGAGTGGGGAAGAGTGGGTGTCTGGGGTTTAGAATGAGGATAATGAGCCCACAGAGATGAGCCTGAGCACTTTGAACCCATAAATATCCTTCTCGGAAGGAAAACTGGCCTTTCTATACGTGATATTGTGATGTAATAAGATGTAGATATTTGGTCTTTATCCCCAGTTCCTGGCACAGAGCCTCTAGAACCCTTGTAACTTTCAGAGGATCCAACCATGTGATTAGAAGGTTGGACCTTTCAGCCCCACCCCCGTCCCCATATCCAGGGAGAGGAGAGAGGCTGGAAATTGAGTTAATCACCAATATCCATTGATTTAATCTATCATGCCTATGTAATGAAGCCTCTATAAAACCCCAAACAACAGTATTTAGGGAGCTTTTAGGTTGTTGAACACATCTATGTGTTGGAAGGGTGATGAACCCCAACTTCACGGGGACAGAAGCTCCTGTGCCCAGGACCCTTCCAGCCCCCTCCTTGTGTACCTCTTCATCTGACTTTTCCTCTGTAATGTTTCCCTGAGTTCCATGAGCCATTATAGCAAATTATGGAACCTGAGGAGGTTAAGGGAACCCTTGATTTATAACGATCAACAGAAGTACAGATGACAACATGGGACTTGCGACTGGAGGCTGAAGGAGGAGGGAAGTCCTGTGGGACTGAGCCTTTATCCTGTGGGATCTGTGCTAACTCTGAGTAGTTAGTGTCAGAACTGAACTGAACTGTAGGACACACCCGTTGGTGTCCAGGGAATTGCTTGGTGTGGAAAACTCACACACTGTGTGTCAAAAGTGTTGTGAGTAGGGAAACAGTTTTCCTTTCTCATGCACTAAAAAAAAAAAAAAAAAAAAAAAGTTCGTAGGCTTCGCCTGTGAACCCAGTTTTAGAGAACAATAACAGTAAAACGAACCAGCTTCTCAGGCCAAGAAATAAACCCTCACCACTCTCCAGAAGCTCCTCATTCTGAGCCAGCAAAGCCCTCTCTCTGTTCCCTCATCTTTTTTCCTCACAGCCTTTATGACAACCTGACATTTCACTGGAAGTTTCTCTGAGCACTGACTTTAATGCCTGACTTTGATTCTAGAATGTTAGCTCCACGAGGGAGGGCTCTGCTTGGTTCTCTACCATGTCCTCAGCACTTGGAATTGTGCCTGACACCCAGTAGGTGCCAAGAAGATAGTGGAGTGAATGGCCTGGGGAACTGTCTGTCCTGTCCAAGGCGGAAGCCCCAGCTATATCCTTCCGGCCGCAGCTTCCTCTCTGCCACTGGAGGCTCAGCCACAAGAAGCCGAGGGTGCCAGATTCTTTAACACCCGGCCCAGGGGAACTGGGGAGGCCTCTGCTGGGCCTGGAGGCTGCACAACAGATGGTGGAGTGTCTATTACCTCAGGAAGGACCGACAGGAAATATCAGATGAGGCGACTGATAATAATAACAATAATGGTAATAATCTCAGTAATAATGACAAATTATAACAGTAGCTCACATTGTCCCAGCCCGGTTGTTGGTCCCAGGGCTGGGTGCTTAGAATTCTCTGTTTCTTTTAAAGTGGGACCAGCACCTCCACCTTGATAAGCTGAAGAAAGTAGAGTCCACCGGAGGCTGCTGGGAAGGCTCATGTGCTGCCCCTACAACACAGACTGGGTTTGGGCCCAGCAAGAAGGCTTCGCCGGGTCACCTCAACAACAGTCAGGGTTTGCCCAGGACTGCAGGGGGTTCCCAGATAGGGGACTTTGAGGTTAATATTGGGACAGTCTGGTTAAACCGGGCCAGTTGGCCACCCTTCCTCAGTGGGTTTTCAGGGGAAAGCTAGAATGAGGGGATTCCCCAGACTTCAGAGGCCTGCAGGGAGGGGCCTCCCCAGAGCTCCCACCAGACCAGGGGAAAGCCAGGAGTTGGAGAATGAGAAACAAAATCTCTTTGTGTCCTTTTGAATGGGAGGGTTCAGGGAACAATGAGCCCCTTCCCCAGGCAGCCAGAGGTTGGTAGGGAACCCTTCCAAAGAAGTTCCACATCCGGTGGCATGTGAGCACCTGTGTGGACACGTGACCTCTAGAAATTCCCCATTAGCAGCGCAGATGGCACATTTTGTGCCGATGTCAGGAGGAAACAGAGGAATCACACACATAAAGGCTAGAACCAGAGGGTCTGGATTCAGATCTCAGCCCAGCCACTGTGTGATCCAGGACAGTCCCTTAATTTTGCTGTGCCTCAGTTTATGCCTCTGCAAAATGGGGCTAATCAGAGTCCCGAACTCAGAGGTGCTTTGGAAGCATCGCATGTAAAGAGCTTAGAACAGAGCCTGGCATGGGCTGTGTACTACTATCTTTTTCAATTAATGACATTTCTTGGCATCTGTCACTTCCACTACGTATAGATCTATTTTGCAGAATCGTTTTAGTGTGAAACATTTCAGGCAATCAAAAATGCATGGAAATAAATAAAAACATCACAAAAAGTGGGAACAACCTAGTGTTCATCAACAGATGAACAAGCGAGCAATATGTGGTGTATATATACAATGGAATATTATTCAGTTATAACAAGGGATGAAATTCTGACACATGCTACAATGTGGATGAACCTTGAAAACAATATGTTAAGTGCAAGAAGCCAGACACAAAAGGACAAATACTGTGATTCCACTTACATGTGGTCCCTAGAGGAGTCAGATTCATAGAGACAGAACATAGATGGTGTGGGTGCCAGGGGCTGGGGGAAGGAGAGGAGTCTTAGTGTTCCATGGGGACAGCGTTTCAGTTTGGGAAGATGAGAAAATTCTGGAGATGGATGGTTGTGATGGTTGCACAATGGTGCGAATGTACCTAATGCCACTCGACTGGACACTTAAAAATGGTTAAAGTGGAAAATTTATGTTATGTGTATTTTACCACAAGTAAAAAAATGTCAAAGGCGTGGGGGTGGGTGAAATGGGTGAAGGGGGTCAAAAGGTACAAACTTCCAGTTATGAAATAGGTAAGTCCTGGGGATGTAATGAATAGCATGGTGACTGTAGTAAGTAATACTCTGT